GCAGTGCCTCTCCCTATCCTGTAGCTCTGCACTGGAAGATGTCCCCAGCTCCCTTCGGTGACCTGCTCTGCATCTCACAGGGCAAGCGTCCTTCAGCAGGAAAGAGTGCGGGCAACCGAACACTGCAGAGCAGCACTGGCTTCCTGTGGTGGTGGAGGTTCCTTCAAGAGAATCGCAAAAACACCTACAAAAGGTATAATGGAGGGAAAGAGAGAGCCCTTGCTGGCAGGAGACCTGGGTGGCAAATAGGTTATTAGTCAGCCTTTCTTTGAGACTCAGAATAATAGAATTCATAGAATATCTCAAATTGGAAGGGACCTGTAAGGATCATCCCTCCCTACCACTGAGTTACAATTACTTTTATTTCCTTCCAACTGGAAAAGAGGGACAAGTAAAGCTTTTGTTTTGCACTGTGACCCATGCATTCCTCCTGTCTCCATTCTCCAGTAATGATTTAGGGCTCATCTCACTCACCTGAGCAATTCTTACTCATCGGTATGGCACAAGAATGAAAGTCTGCAGAATGAGGTTCATAGTTAGAAACTCCACTGAAAGATTAAACATCGTACAGAAGGAGGAAGCATTCTTCAGACAGGCTTCAAAGCTGCCTTGGTCACGCATCTGTTGAAAAAGACCAAACAAAAGCGTCTCTTTCCCATGGTATCTTGTCCAAAAAATCTTTCCAGCTATACAACGATAACTGTACATAACTAGAATTAAAATAAAGAAGTACCATTTACCGACTTAATTTCCTGAATAGCTCTCTTTGTTAAGAGCTGTGTGAAACCTGCCAGTTAGATTAATTGATGATTTCGAAAATCAACAGAATGTGCAGAACTGTATAGTAACTGTATATATGACTGTAAGTATATGAGGAAAATCATAATTCTGTAATGTAAGTTACATTAAGTAAGTCTTACACAGCCACACAAGTAATGTTTCACTGCAGACATTCTTAACGTTAATCTATAACGTAACTAGCTGCAGTAAGAGAGAGGGAAAAAAAACCCACCCAGTTTGTAGCTACCCTATATCTCAGACAGGGTGATATAACATAACATATGTTTTAAAATGATAAAGACTTCCAAGAATAAGGTGCAGTTTCCAGAAAAATATTCATACACGCCCAAACAAAAGCAAAATCCTGTAATAATTGAATAATTGCAGCTTTCTGTTTCCAAGAAGTTAAAAAAAAAAAAAAAAAATCCAGCCCAAACCAGCCCTTTTCAGTGGCTTAGCTGGTCAACACTCTTATACACAAAGCCCAGTGCTCTTCCCTAAAACCTAAGAATTAATCAGCATTATGTAAGAGATTTTTATAACACTCTAAAAATACATTGTGAATTCCTTTCCAGTGTCGGACTGAGAAGCTTTAAAGTACTGCTACCCCTCATACCCTTTTTTAACAAAGACTGGATCTTCATTTCTGATATCAGAAACTTGAATTTGTCTCAGTATTTGTGCCTCAAATCTCATTAATTACAGTATCGGCCTCATGAGATACAACTGCTGCTGCTAAGAGCAGCGTTTGTGCTCAGAATGATTGAAGCAAGGGCACAGATACAGATATTATATGTATATAAACACTTTAAGAATTAATGACACATAAAACTTCGTAAGACTATGCGGATGTTTTCACGTTAATTTACCTGCTTACTAAGCAAACTTAGATGTGATAATGTTCGCATGGTGTTGATAAGCAACACACCATGATAGCATTCCTGCAAAGGCAGTTGTAACATTAGCCTGGCAAATCTACAGCAGAGTCCTACCAGTACCTCATTCCTTTTTGTGCTCTATTTTTCATATGCATAATAAATAACTACTAGCACTATTTCTGTATTTTCCACTGAAGGATCTTTTTACAAAGTCATCACCTGAATGTTAATGGTGGCTTGGGAACCAGACCTGTAAAGAGAATGAGTTTTAACACTGTTGTTGGGAGCAGAGCCATCCTGCTCACGTCCAAGTGTCCATCCCTGCCTTCCCAAAGTTCATTCCACTCTGATCCAAATCACAATTTGTTCTATGAACATGGAAGGCATCTGCAGTCCTTCAGACCAAAATAATTCACAAGAATGCAAATAAATCACATGAAAAATGGGAACAAAGCATTTTCAGCTGTGAAAATATTGTCATGGAATGCATATCCAAAGGACATTACAGCAACCATATTATCGCATTTTTAGGAAACACCTCAACACTGTCCTTTTCCAGAACAAAACTTTTCCCCATACAAGGCTGACACAACACTGATATAGCCACCTTCTTAAAATAACCCCTCACCCTTTAAACCACAAACAATCAAAACCATTGAGGCAAACAAAACAAGAGATTTTGTAGAGGGTGGGTATGTGGGGTGGAAAGATGCAAAGACTGCCTTGCCCAGGAATGATTTCACCATTGTTATCAGTTTTGCGTGAAAGCTGTGGTGCTGGTACTATGGCTGATGGGTGGCAGCCTAAAGCCTTTAACAGGAGGTAGTCAAGGTATCTGATGGGATGATAATGGCTCTCCCACAAGGGCAAGCAAATATTTAGATAAAAACTGTACTCTGGATTATGATGATCCCATAACAAAGTGTCAACTATCCTTTGTGTGTTTGCCCCCAAGGATATCCATGTTCACTCTTTTCCTTCCCTCAGCAACTCTTACTTTTTCATATTTTACCCAAGTGCTTCTTTGTTCTCTGTCCTGATTCTTTCTCTGCCTTTCTCTCTTTGTACGATTTTCTGCTACCCGTATTCACACTGAATGCAATCAGTCACATGGCTAGCCTCCACCTGAACTCCATGGTACAAGACATGTAAGCATTATTCCAAATGAATGAGGGCAAAATACCTCCCTTTGGTTCACGCTTCATTAACGTGCCCTTCTCAGATTCTCTCCCTAGTCTGTCCCCCCTTTTATCACCCAAATTCACTACGCATTGTTCTCGTACTTCTTTCCTTTATTTGTTCTCACCCACAGTCATTTTTGCCTCCTTCATTTCCTCTGTTAGCTTCTTCTACCCTTCCATTCACGCCTTCCTCCATACCTTCTTCTCCACCATAACTCACTGTTGCCACCTTGCTCGTGGCCCTTCCTCTGGTTTTGCTGGTGTAACCTGGAAGTAAGCAGGAGCCTCAGTCCTGACACAATGTGGGGGCTGGGGTGACCACTGCCAGCGGGCCTAGAAAAAAGAGAAAGCCTAATTTACTTCTTCCACTAGACCCACTCCAAACACTCTCCCACTGACCTGTTAACGCAAAAAATATAGCAGGGGGAAAGCCCGAGACAGACAGCCAACTTTCACACAAAATGGCTTTTGTTGCGGTATGCTTTAATCTGATGAATTATTGCAGTGAGTTGCAAAAGCGCACATCCCACACAACCTGCGCCGTGGCAGGGAACTGCCTATGTGAAGCTACAAGCACCTCGGACTCTTCAGCCTCCTGCTCCTTCCTCTTGTCTCTGCTACTCCATCGCTAATTTGTTCCAGTCCCTCATTAATACTCTGCTAATCCCTCCCCCCAAATTCCACCTCACTCACCATTCCCTTCACTCTAGCAGCTAAAAATCCGGAGGATATTTTTTTCCCCTGCAGCTCCAACAATGATAAACAGATGCTGGTGGTCTATGCCTCTTACAACTTCCCTCCTTGCATTTTGCGTGGCGCTTATTGTTGCTGACCTTTGCCTGCCAACACAACGGGGAGATGGGTATATTTACAACCTGGCCTGACCAAAAAAAAAAAAAAAAAAAAAAAAAAAAGGCGCTCCGAGGGCTTGACATTAAACACTAAAAGCCCCCTCGGGTTATACACGTGAGTAGGTTTACAAGATTAGTCACACGTTTGTAAAGATAAGCAGGTATCAACATCTGCAAAATTTGGGATTATACGTTAGCAGCAAGGGCTAAAGAAATACAGAGATGGGCACTTCAGGAAAAAGCAAGTCATAAATGGTCCCAGTGGTTGCTCTCTTCCTATCATCTCTCTGGAGCATACAATTATTTGCAATGTACCTTTAAAAAAATCAAAGCGTTTCCTTGAATTTTCTTTAGATGGTTCCTTTTTTTTTTTTTTTTTTTTTTTTTTTTTAAAAGCATTTCTAAGACACGCTGTTTTGGTTCAGGAAACGTTTCCTCCCTACCTCCAATCGCCACAGGCTGGCCTGGGCTCTAGCCCACGAGGCCCTAGTTCTCCTTCGGCTAGGAGAGCGTGGACAAGTATACGCCGGGGAGCCCCCTCCACTCGGGGGTCGCCCACCCGTGACAGGGAAGGCTCTCCCGGCCCGTCCCCACTCTTCCCAGCCCTCCGGGGAGGGAAGGGTTTGACCTTCGGTGCTGAGGAAATGGGGGCGCCGGGCAGGTCTCTGCGGGAGGTGCCCGGTCGCGGGTGGGGTGGGTGGGTTGGGGGGTCCCCGAGGGGGGTGAGGGCCGGGCTGTGAGGGGCCGGACCGAGGAGGCCTCGAGGGGGCCACAGGGCAGCGAGCAGGGCGCGGACCCTGAGGGGACTGGGGGGCTGGCAGCAGCCGCGGAGGGGGCTCCATGAGGGGAAGGAGCGTGTGGGGAGCTGAGAAGGAAGGAGGGGACGGCGGGGTGGTGGTTGAGGTGACAGTAAAAGGGGTGGTGGTGGGGGCGACCGTGCGCCGGCTGCGCCCCCGGCCCGCGGGGTCGGGGAGGAGGCGGAGGGGGACGCCGGGGCAGCGGGGAGGCCGCGGGAGCCCGGCTGCCGCGCGAGTCCGGTCCGCAGTTTGCCGCTCGCCGCCAAGCTCTCCCTCGCCCGGCAGCGGCGGCGGCGGGCGGGTGGCGCGCTGCGCGGAACAGCCGGTTGTTTAAAATCCTTCTAGAACCGTTTCTAATTCCCCCTTGCGCCGGGGAAGGGAGAGCGCGAGCGGGGGGGGAGGAGCCGAGGGGGGGGAGAGGAGGGAGCAGCCCGTCCGGGTCTCCGCCTGTCGATCACCGCGCGGGGGGGCGTGCCCGGCCGGCCGGCCGGCCAATGGGGTGTGTGTGTGGCGGCGTCTCCATGGTGACGGGGCTGTTCCTGGGGAGGCTGTGATGGGTTGACAGGTGCGTGACAGTCGGAGCTCTCTGCAGGCATGTACGGCAAAGGCAAGAGCAACAGCAGCGTCCCGTCCGACAGCCAGGCCAGGGAGAAGTGAGTACAGCCCGCCGGGCCGCGCCGCGCCGTTAACGCGGGCGCTGAACCTGCGCGCAAAGTAACTTCGGTGCGGGGCGGCGCGGGCGCGGCGGCGGGAATGGCCGGGCTGGAGGGGAACCCGGCGCCGCCCGGGCCGGCGTGAGGGGACAAGGCGGCCGCGCTGCCCGGGCGGGAGAGGCCGCGGAGGGGAGGTCCCCGCGGCGGGACAGCGGGCGGCGGGGCGAGGGGGGAGCCGAAACGGGCACCCTCCCCCCCTCTTCCCTTCCCCTTTAGCGGCCGGTCCTCCGCGGGGCGGGCGGCTGAGCGGCGCCGGGCTCTCCCCCCCCCCCCCCCCCCCCCAATAACCTCTCACAGTCCCCCGAGTCGCCGTCCCCGGGGTTCCTGGCGGCGCAAGGTGCCGGGACAGCTTGGGTAACAAAGAGGACACGGGAGGTGTGGTGAGGTGTGAGGTTGGGGGGGGGGGGGGGGGGAAGAGGTGGTTTTGGGAGGGGGTGCGGGCGGGGGCCGCTTCCCAACTCCGCCGCCTCTCAACTTTTCCCCGGGACCGTGCAGCCCGGCGGCCGCGGCCCCGCGGCGCATTGTTCTCCGGGGCGCACGGCGGGGGGGGGGGCCGCCGCGCTCCGGCTCCCGCCCCGCCAGACAAAGGTGCTGCCGGTATGGGCACCCCCCCCACACCCCCTTTTTTTTTTAGTTTGTTTTTGTAATTTTTTTTTTTTTTTTTTGGTGGGGGTAGCAGTGTTCGGCAAAGCTCCCTCGCACCCCCCCCTCCTCCAGCTTGAATCCGACTGATGCCGAAACAGCCTGCGAAAACTTCTTTTTCTTTTTTTTTTTTTTTCCTGGGGGGGGGATTAAAAAAAAAAAAACAAAACAACAAACACAACACGAGTAGAATCTCCAGCCGAACCGCGCGGGGGCTGCTTTATTTTCCTCTCCCTTCCCCGTGTAAACGCGCGGCTCCTGGCGCGGGCAGAGACCGGCGGCGCCCGCGGGAAGCGGCGGGGACCGGGCCCCCGCGCAGCTGCCCGGCGGGATGCGGCGAGCGGGGCCGGGAGGGCCGGGGCTGCCTTCCCTCCCGCGCCCTGCGCCGCGACCACCGCAGAACTGGGGAGGAAAACGAGTTTTTTGGGGGGAATGGACGGCGTCTCTTAAGTTGTGGTGTAGTGGCAGCTTCTTGGCGTTAGTGAGGCCGGTTTAGCACGGGGAGGAGGCGGCGGCGGTGAAGGGGGGAGGAGGAAGAGTGTCGGAGGTGGCTGCAGCCTGGGGGTCGGGGTGAGGCTGCTGGGGGGGGGGGGGTCCGGAGCTGGAAACCGCCGGCCAGAAACTAGGTCTGCACCGACCCGCTGCAAAAATCGCATTGCTCCAAAGCACCAGGCTCGATAGCCCGGGCACGGCTGATGAGTTTCCCTTCAGGCAGTTTGTCTTGAACCTTCACCTAAAAGTTTTTTTGTGTTTTTTTTTTTTTTTCAGTTGTTTTTTTTTTTTTTTTTTTTTTTTTCCCCTACAGTATTTTAGAGACTTCCTAATTCCAGAGACTGGCATGCATGCTTCCTGGAACAGCAGCAGGCCAGGCATCCCTGTTGCTACAGGAGAAGGAGATGCTAGGGGAAATTTAAAGTGGTATTATGTTCGTGAATTTCACACGTAACTTTGTAATGGAAAGGTAGAGGAAGACAGAGGCAGCACTGACAAGAAATGTTAATTGCTGAGATGGTGTGGGAGATGCAACTTGGGCACTAAAATCTAATCAACTAGTGGCACATTTTAATCCTGGTGTAGGAATAATTTTAAAAATAATTGCTAAGTGGTTAGTGGAAGTGTTGTTTATTTGGTGGAGCAAAATTATACAATTAAACCATTTTCTTGTCTTATATTGTTGCTGGTGTTTGTCCTGAAGGGCACTGTAGGATTGCACTGGGACTGTTTAAAACAAATCTATAGGGGTGCTGTTTGTCGGATCAGGCAAAGATCATGTTCTTTTCATTCTGCTTTGCGAAAACTACCCAATGGAAGCCACACACACAGCTGTTCAGGTCCTAGGGCTGAAACTTTAAACTGCTTTTTTTAGTTGTCTTCTTTAATTTTAGCTGTTTTTTCTTCTGGATTCTTGCTGCCATAAAGCATGTAATATTTCATGTGGTATGAAAATGCTTAACAATTTTCAGGGCAAGCCTGCCAAACTGACCTATTGCCAAGTAGCAACTACCCTCCTAAGTTATGGGGGGCCTGCTAGATGGTGCTGTTTGATTTAAATACACTTTGTCTCCCACTCATTATAACTAGCAGCTGGAAATGTGAATTCCTTATGTATAGATTATTTTATGCAAAACACTGCAATGGTTTGTTCTCAATTAATGGACTTGACAGATCGGTAACTTCTTGGTAGCATCTACTTACAGATAAACACAACTGGGAATTTGGAAACACCCTCTTCCTCTCTCATCTTCCCTTCTTACTCCCCCTCTGCCCCCATAACCATCCTTTAATGAAAAAAAAAAAAAAAGCCTAAAGACTTGGTTTATGGTGTGGAATACTCTACATTCTGGACTTTTTTCTATTACATCTTTTCAAATTTCTTCTTAGTAGATCAGATTACATTATTTCCATTTTCATATGCTTTCTTTCTGACATCTAAAAAGCTGTTATTATTTATTTTTTTTTCTTTATTATGACATTGTTTTACAGCGATGCAATGCTGCTCCCAAGGTGATGCATGAGTTCTTGTTCAGCTCAAAAAAGTTGCCATTGAATTAAATAGCTCTACAAAAATACAGCTCCAACTTCTGCATGAGATTGTGTTAATTTGAAAACCACAGAGAAAACATATGTTTGACTGATACATTAAGTACTTATTTAATCAAGAAGAGCGGGATTATAATTATGTCTAATTTGAAAGTTTTTAGAACAGAACACGTAATTTAACTCTGTCGTGTCTCCTCCAGGTTTTAAGTATCTAAAATTTGTAGCCACTAACAGATCTCCAAAATACTCTTGTAATAATTAAGGAAATAATAAAACAAAACACTACCTCGGGTTTGGATGGCCTAATTATATGGAACATGTTTCTTTTCCATGAGGATGTGTGCCAGTGACAGGACTAGGGTGTGAAAAGAGTATTTATCAAGTGTGGAAAAGATGTGTCTCGTTCAGATGTTGTTTGTAATCAAGGATGTGATATAATTTTCAGACCAATCCGGTGCCAAATATGTTTGTAGCACTGTATCTCACTGTATGCTGCCTTTAATATTTATGTCCTTTGAGGTTATGTAGTTTCTATTAAAATGAACAAGTTTTGCAAGTCATTTATAGTAGCCCTTGGCAAATTTTCAGTTCCAAAGATGGCATTCATTTTATGGTCTTTCTCTTTGTCCCTTCTGCCTGACCTTCAGGGTAAATTATCTGTATTATGTAGTTTAACAACACATGTGAGGTGTGGGTAGATGAATTTGGGGAAAAATAATACCTGATCTTATGATGGAGAAGTACAGTACAGCACAGCTAGGTAAAAAAATGAAGGCACACAGTAGTACCTGAGAGGTGTGAAGAAGATGGAGAGAAGAATCATAAGTGTTGTTGTGCCCCTTCCACCCATTCTGGAACAGGTGTGACTTAATTTTGGGTTCAGGCCATCCCTATTGCATAAGGGATGGGAAGGTTGTGTTAGACAGTGGCTCTTCCGCCATTTGTGCTGTGCTGGGACCAAGTAATGCTCTCTACATTGTAAAAGGAAAAAGACTAGAGTTCTTCTAAACATCTTTTGTTACCTCTTCTGATTTTTTCCTTATTCCTTAAAATTGGATTAATACAGATTAGGAGTTTGGACCTGCTAACATTTCATTGAATGTTGAAACTCTGTTAACTTTGAGTCTTGGAGAAAGAAGGATCAGACTATACAAATTTTATGCAGTTTTTCAAACAACTTCTGTAGGCATTTTCATCAGCTGGGTGACTAGAGACTGTGATTTACTTTGATAGAGAGGGATGCATAATCAAAATAAAAACATAGAAGCAAGCATTGGAGTCGGTTATTGATTGATTTTCAGCTTGGTGTGGGAGAGGATGTAGAGAAAATGAGAATGTTTGATTGCTAGTATCATGGTATTCTTGTTCCATTTTCTTGCATGACCCTAGTTGTAAATGTCTCCTAAGTTTGCTTTTGGTCAGTTGGTCACATGGAGGAAGATGGACATTCTTCTTTTCCACTTTGCTGCTGCTTTGAAGAAGAAAGAAGATGTCTCCTTTCCTGTTTGTCCTTAAGTCTGTTTTGGGTGGTTGGCTGTTTGGATGCATGGCTGCTTTATATGAGTGGTGTGGATTTCTGCCTTTGTAGATCTCTCTTCCCAGTTGGGAAAGCAGAGTGAAATTTACACAACTTCTGTCATTTTCTTGTTGATGGCAGTACAGTTCTCTGTAAATAGAGAAGAACTCACAAGTGCTTTCCTCATGTGATTCTGCTGCTGTTGAGGAGAACAGAGATTTCCAAGGGCTTTTGTGGATTTGTGGATTTCTAGAGATAGGTTTTGGGTTTTTTCTTTTTTTTTTTTTTTCTCTTTTTTTTTTTTTTTTTTTTTTTTTCCCCCAAATTTGGAATGACAGTATTGCATGAATTTATGGTTAGGTTACATTTTTTTCCACTGTAATGCTTGTAAGCTACATAAAACTAAGATACAGATTACAATTAATTGGCCTCAATGATAAATTTGCTGCTTATTCCTGGGAATTGGTGAACTATTTTTCAGGTTTCAAGTGGTGAAAGATACATCGATCTCTGGTTCTTTTTTGTTGTTGTTTTTTGTTTTGTTTGGTTTGTGTTTTTTTTTTTTGTTGTTGTTTTGTTTTGTTTTTTTCTTTTTTCCCCCATTTGAAAGCAAAATTGGTAGTTTAATTTAGCTTGTTTTACAAAATTTAGATTTGTCTCTTGTACACTGATTTCATCCATCAGGTCTAACTTGTAAAAGTTGCAGGTGTACTGCTCAGGGAGTCTATGAACATAAAGCTTT